ATAATTTTTTTAAAGTCTCCTTCTTAGGTAGTTTGAATTATTAAGTACGTTTACTATTGCTAATTAGTAATTAATTTCTTGTTAAAAACAAGTCATTTTCTTTGAATATTTTTAGTTGTGATCATAGTATAATTAAAATTCCATAAACATTTTGTTTCCTCTCACATTTATATACTGAGCATTTCCTGTTTTCATTATCACATTTAATGGCTCCAAAATAGTCCCACATTCAGATACATATACCCCAGTATTTTTAACCATTTCTCTATTGTTTGGATGTTTGTTTCCAGTTGTGAGTTGTTCTTTGTTTTGTTTTGTTTTTAACATTAAAAACATAATACTGTCATGAAGCTTTGAATACAAATCTTTGCACACATCTCTGATTATTCCTTTAGGATGAATGCCTAGAATTGAATTACCAGATCGCACAATACTGTAAAGTAGGAACTTCTAAAAAATCAAAGTAATTCTTTGTAAATAGAACATTCTGTAAATGCATATGATTACGATATAATTTTATTTTTCTCTTTTTTGTAACCCCATTTTGGGAGTAATTTTCATGTAAAGAATAACTTCAAATGAACGAGGAGCTTTTCTAAGGGTATAGTATTTATATTTGCAACCATCAGTTAATTGATAAAGTGTCTTTCCTCTTTGTTGATTCTTTTTCTGAGAGGAGATGGAGTATAGTACATGATGGAGGAAGTGCCATTTGGCTAGGCAATGGGCTTGTGCTCCTGGGGGAGAGTCAACAAATGTGGAGGTTTGGGAACCAGGAGAAAGAAAGGTTTGTGCCAACCACATTCATCAATCATGGAATCTGTCCAATTGAAAGGGAACAGCAGCCCACCCAGAGTCCTATACAGGGACTGCCCTCACCAGCATGGCACCTCACGGTTGCCATTGACTGGGTCAAGTATCAACACTCGGTTAATTAGCCACAATTCTCAGGATCTAAGGATGTCAGCCAGGGGTCTGCCTGTTCACATGGAGAGATTGCTGCTCAGAAAAGATAGGTTCTGGGGTCTGCCCCTGCAGCTGGCTGGCTCTGTGATGATTATCAGGGGGCTGGAGTGATTCAGCCATGGAGAACAGCAGGCAGTAATTTCACTGCTGGTTTTTATCTGTCCCTCTCTCCACTCAATGCTGGCTGGTGGCAAAGGCCTGAAAAGGACGGCTGAGAGAGAACAATAAGGGGAAATGGAAAACACTTTAAATAATTTCCTTAGCTGAATTCAGATGAACATCCTCTAAAAAACCAAGGGGACTGGCCAGGCCCAGCTGGCAGACTGGTTTTAACTGAAACACAAAATTTGCTTTTGGAAATCCTTGAGACTGGGTACACAGGTCCAGTTACACTCTGCCTCTACCTACCTCTTTTCATGGTGGATTCCCTGACCCATTCTTTTCCTCAAAGTAGATTTGAGGGCAGGAAAATGTATATTAATAGATGCCAAAGCCACCATATTCTCCATATTAGAGTCAATTCCAAAAACAGTAGTTAAATGTTTCTAGATTGTCATCATAGCTATTACTTCAAAGATCTATTGATTAATAATGGAAGTTTTAAAAATGCAACAGTGATCAACTTTCACCTTTAAAGTATTCCTTTTTCTTTGTTGCCAAGAGTAGTTTTCCTACAAATCTAGCCAAAGAGCCAGAAGAATCCTTTAAAGTCATTCAGTTTAACCTCTCAGAAGATGCTCAGGTCCCTCATGGTCAGTGACTAAGCAGCTGCTCTGTAGGAGAAGGCCCCTACCTCCCTTCCAATAAAATAAATAATTTTATTTTTTATCCCCTGCTCGGTTTTGACAAAGTTTGGACAGTTTTGTCTCATCATTTGTCCTTCAGCTAAGCCACAATTTGAATACCTGAGTTTCCATTTTTATTCTTGTAGCTACATGGAATAAAATGGCTTATACTTTTATATTGTATTTCTTAACACAGTGTGGACTTTCACCGTGTCTTTTCTGAGTCTTTAACTCTTGAATATGGTCAGTAAGTTTATTTGTTGATTCATTCATCAATTATTTATTGAATAATACTATGTGCCAGAGAAAGAACCAAGAAACAAGGATGAATGCTACACAGTTCCTGTCTTCTACAAGCTTAGTTTGAAAAAAGAATAGACTCATAAGTATATAACATCAAAATAACATAATGCATGGTGTAGATAAGCACAGAAAACACAAAAGAGTACTAAATTACCCAGAGACGTGGATTTGGGATGAACATTTAATATTTTCTACGCACTTGCGTTCTCAGTCTTATCTTTTCCTTTTCATCTGTTGTGTTTCTTAAATTCTACATATGAGTGAAATCTTATGATATTTGTCTTTCTCTGATTGACTTATTTTGCTTAGCATATACATTCTAGTTTTATCCACATTGTTGCAAATGGCAAGATTTCATTCTTTTTGATCACCAAGTAGTATTGCATTTTATGTATATACCACATCTTCTTTATCCAGTCGATGGACATTTGGGCTCTTTCCATCATTTGGCTAAGGTTGATAGTGCTACTATAAACATTGGGGTGCATGTGAGCCTTATCTTAGATAATGGAAAGAATTGGGCCAGGGAGATAGAAAATTTCTGGTAGAGAAAACAGCATGAGTAAAGGTCAGGAGACAAGTCATAGTGTGGACTCTGCAGGAAAGAGCCAGCAGCTCAGTTCAGCATTCCTGGCGGTAAAAGTGTAAAGCTAGAAATAAAGAAGATTGGGTTAAGAGCCAGATAGTGAATATTTTTTCTCAAGTGGCAAAGTTTTGAATGCCCTCTCCAAAAATATGTATACTCTCAGGAGTAAGCATTTGAGTACCTCCAAGTCTGTGCTTGCCTCTTTCCCTATCCCCTTACTCAAGAAATTATCTCTGAGGTGCCAACTCTTGTAAAACCAATACACCCCAACTGATGTTCTTGGAACTAGACCCACATTGCATTGAAGATACTCATCTCCCTTTCTTTTCTTCCCAAACCCCAAGATCTTAGAGAAACTGCCTCATAAGTCATCTAAATACTGTCCTGGTAACCATATACATGACGATGTAGTTGACATTGCAGTGAAAATGTATTGATTACCAGATGCCAGCTTATCACTGCCTTTTCTGTTCTTCCTTAAATTCCATCAAGGGAGAAATCTTCTGGTTTTTTCCCTGTAGCCTTAGTTTCCCTGTAGCCTTAAAGTCACATAATACGTACTCTAACAAAACTGATAGACTCATCTGGCATCAATAGGTACCTAAAATCAAGAATAGAGTTACTTGCATTCATGGTAAATACTTACCTCATCCGGTTCATTTTGCTATCTTCATTTGAGAATTCTTGTCTGTGTCTTGGAACTAGTGTACCATTTCTCACCTCAGAGATTTTACATATGTTCTTCCTTTGTCTGGAACCTTCTGTCCTCATCCCCAGTTCCCATTCTGACCCCTTCAAAAGTTGCTAACTGCTCTTCACCTTCAGGGAAAGTTCCTGTGTTTTGTTCTTTTGTTAGCCACTTCTACACCCTGAACTTATGCTTCGTGTGCCTCATAAACTGAGATGTTCACTGCTATAGTTCCAGGACTTAGTCCAATGCCAGACACAGAGCTGGTGTTTAAAGAATATTAAGTAAATTTATGACCACATGACTGCTACTGAGTAATATCTCTGTTAAATGAGATTTGGATTTTTTTGAAGAAAACCAGAATTAGAGAACTGCCAGAAGTATAAAGACATGGGATTTCAGTTGTTATGGTTGAATTATTAATTTCTGCCTTTCAACATAAATGTACAATTGTGTAAACAACCTTTTGGAATTTTTATTATTTAAGTCAATAAAAATTGCTAAACATTACCTTGACATTTGCAGTGATATAACAGGTTACAGCTGATCTTATCTTGACATTGAACTTTTCTGACTAATTGAATGTCCTAATTAATTTTTCTGGATAACTACTAAATTCTTAGTCCTCATCATTTTTTATCCAAGAGCAGAAATTAATCAAGTATTAGTAACTTTAGGAAGCTGTATTGGTTGTAGAGAAATTAAATATCCAGTGACAGAGGGCTGGTTAAATACATGCTAATATATGACCTTGATGAAATATTTAGCCATTTAAAATGGATAATTATAAACACTACCTACGTATATGAATATGGCTTAAAATATAATGTGAAAACATAATATTAAGACATAATGTAGCCAGGGAGATGGAGATTAAAAAATTATTAAAAATAATAAATAAGTAAGATGGTTTGTGAATTTGGGGAAGACTTTTAATTACGTCTTACATACAGATTTTAGAAAGTTACATGTATATTGGATGTCAATTGCTATAATCTGCATGAGTAAGTATGAAAGCTTTATTAGAATATAAATTATCAAATTTATATTCTGCAGTAGTAATGCATTCCTTGCCTATGTCTATTGCAAATTAAAACCTGTTTATTACTGGAAAGTATCTCACATTTATTATAACTGTAGAAGAGAGACCTGCCTTCTGAAGTCAACATTTCCTGTTACATAGGAACACATTTATTTGATGCATAACGGTGCTGGAAATAACAAAATTAAAACAGCCAAATTCACTACTCTACCAAATCAATTTTCATGTAACTGGTTTCCTTCCATTCTTTTCCATATGTATGTATAATTTTTACAACTGACACTAATGTTTTTGCAGTTTTGCATATAACACAATTTGTAAGCTTGTATTTCCTACTGTGTAATGATCATTTTAATTGCTATGTAACAGAAACATTTCTTAAAAGCGAAAATATGAGGTCCTTTGTAGAAACAAAAATATAAGACCCCTTAGACCTCTTGCAATGCGGAGACAAACTTGAGTGTTTTTCCTGACCTTCCTTTGTCTGCTGACAGTGCACTTCATAGCTTTGCATAGAAGACTGTTATCACCTGATTTCCATTTGAGTAGTAAGATGATAACACAGGATGCAAGGGGAACTAGGTTTAGGTGACAGCCATATCATTTAATGTCTACTTATTGTTTCTCCAGGGGAATTCTGGCCTGGGATTCAGTATTGCTGGAGGGACAGATAATCCCCACATTGGAGATGACCCTGGCATATTTATTACGAAGATTATACCGGGTGGTGCTGCAGCAGAGGATGGCAGACTCAGGTAAAGCTCTGAAACGTTAGAATTATTTGGAAAGTAAATCTGCCACATCAATGAGACACATTTATACCTTTGCAGAATAATAATTTTACAAGGCTGTACTTGAAAGACACAGCTGTCACAGCAAGCTTTCTGTAATGACTTTGCAGATTTCTTATTACTTACTAAATTTCAAGTAGTATTTAATTTGTGTTTGTTGAAGGGCACTACATTCAACATTCAGCGTGGCACCATGAGGAGGGTATGCAGATAAATCTCTTGTTCCATGGGGCCTTCAGTCTAGTTGGAAGGAAGAATACTCAGAGCTGATGAGCAAATAATAAAATGTATAGAAAACAATATACTGTAAGTAGTATTAGCAGATAGGGCAATGGTATAGACACTGTATGTATTCATAGATTTATTTTTTTTAGTCCATTTATAAGGGCTTTCTGTAGGAGTTTGAACAGAGAATCTAAAAACTATTCCATAGGAAGATTCTATTCTGGGTCTAAAAATAATTAAGATTTCAGTAACCCCACAAATCTGAATTAGAACATAGAAGGAGAAAGAACAAGTTATCCCAACCAAGAGAGAAACCAACTGGATGAGGTTGACTGGATGAGGACCACAAGGTGAGCTTGAGTAGGCAGATGGAGTGGAGTCACATAATGCACAGGATAGACTAATAGCTGTTTGAATCAGGACCCTTGCTCTTTAAAGAACCGAAGATTATTGGGGCAACTAAGAGGCACACAGGACAATCAGTAAATAATATGAAATTCTATCAGAGATCAAAGCACTAGCTAACAGGCATTGTAGATTGGAACAATTAAAAGAGATTTCCCTGGGGAGAAAAACATATCCCAGTGTTAATTTCATGCTTCTACTAGACTGTGAATCCCCTCAGGCCAAGAAGTTACAAATAGAAGTGAACCAACAAATTCTTGCTGAACGAATGAGTGAGTTTTTGAATTAATGAATTCATTAAAGGAGATGGAAAAAGAAGTTAAACTAATGAGTAGGGGGAGAGAAGGTAGCACAAGCAAAGTCTTATAGGTAAGAACGACTTTAGCTTATGGGGCACCTGGGTGGCTTAGTCAGTTAAGTGTCTGACTTTGGTTCAGGTCATGATCTCATAGTTTGTGAGTTCGAACCCCACATCGGGCTCTGTGCTGACAGCTCAGAGCCTGGATCCTGCTTCGGATTCTGTGCCTCCCTCTCTCTCTGCTCCTTTCCCACTCCCACTCTGTCTCTTTCTCTCAAAAATAAATAAATGTTGAAAAAATTAAAAAAAAAAAAAAGAATGACTTTAGCTTGCATGGGGCCACAATGAGGACTGTGACCTAAGTATCATACATGTAAGCCATGTAGCCTTTCCTTGTCTGTTTTTTTCATTAAACATAAGTAAGCTAGTTTACTATTTTTCTTATAAAGCAGCCAAGGACACTCTGTTCCCTATCCGCTTGTTTCAATGCAGTGATTACTTACGACAGCTTGTGGAAGAGAATCACAGGCTTTTTTTTTTTTTTTCAGGTGCATCTGCATCTCCTTTCAAGACCAAAAAACATGAGTGACACTCCCACAGGAAACACATGCTTTTTGACAATAGAATTTTCAGGCTGAATTGATGAGATTAATTTCAGAGTACAGAAATATCCATGCTACAGAGTGAACAATTTGAAATAGATACTGTGTAATTCTCATGAGTCATAGTGGGGACTGGGTTTGCTAATACTGGATGCTGGTGAAGTGCCATTTTCAAAGTTTAAGAACAGTTGTTGGACGATGGTTCTGAAATTGATAGCCCACAATCATTATCTCATACTACTTTGCCTAGAAATAGGGGAATTTCCATCTCTTAGCCAAATTCTGACTCTAAGGTTTGGAATACAATAGACTTTATGTTGAGTGCCTGTCCCCACTGTTAGGAATGAAAAGTGACGTGCTACCACTGATTGACGGCAAATATAGGGAACAATCTCATGCCTGCAGAGGTAAAAGGAAATTCTGCTAGAAGCAGCATTGAATAATTGTTAATAGAATAATCATAATGCTAGCTAAAATTTGTTGAGATTTTATTGTGTGGGGAATTGTGCTTAGATAAATAGATGATAGATCAAAAGATAGATAGATGAAAGAAAGAAGGAAAAGAGAAAGAAAGGAAGGAAGGAAGGAAGGAAGGAAGGAAGGAAGGAAGGAAGGAAGGAAGGAAGGAAGGAAGGAAGGAAGGAATAGAATATATGCAATCATCTTTATACTTGCAGCAGCCATATGAGGTAGATACCATTATTTGGCCATAATATCAACTCATGAAATTAAGCCTTCACAACTCGGATGATCATCAAGCTAGCTTTGAATACATCCAAAAATTAATCCTGAATATCACTTATGTACTCTCTGAAGTTCTAATTCAAGAGTAGAATCTTCTACCTCATGTGGTTCCTTCATAAAAACTCCTAAAGGCAAAATTTTTCACAATGTTAAGGGGCAACTCTAAACATTACAAAGTTTGTTATTTTTCTATTGAGTCACATTTTTTTTTTTTTTATTCTGTCCTCTACCCATGGGTCTTGTTCTGGCTTCCTGGAGCCAGGGCTACAGCCTATGACTGCATATGTAAATACTGCCTCTTAAGGTTGTGTAGTGGTAACTGAATAGTGGTCCTAACTTGAGCAACTAAAAATACCTACTCTCCAATCCACATTGCAGCCTTTTGCTATGTGAAGACAGCTATTGATTGGATCTCTATTTCACTTCAATAAATCCTTGCTACTCCCACGGAGATTGTTTCCCCCCTTACTGCTTCCTGCCCTGAACTGGAATGGCCGGGAGACATCTAAGAGATCAAGAATAATTGATTGAAACCTGGCAGCATGACATTAAGTGTAGATTTTTAGAATTTGGCAATCTATTTATTTCAAAGCCTTTATTTTACAGAGGAAACTGAGGCTCAGTAGGATGACTTATCCTGAGGTATAAATCTTTGGAAGCTCTACTTTAAATAGAATCCAAATGTTTTGACTCAAGTAATTAACACCATAAGGTAGTGTTAAGGGATAGTAACACCCAAGCCCACCTAACAGGCACACTGTTCAGAGATGGACCAACAAGCTGTGATGAATACTTTCAATCTCACCATTAGTCCTTTGGACAAGAGAGCAGAATGTTACAATGAGCTCTGGGAAGATGTAGGTTCTAATGTGTATAAGAACATAATTGGTCTTGGAAAATTAGACTCTTTCAGTCACTCTTTTCTTTTCTGTAAAATGATGACAATAATACTGACTCCACTGAGTTGTTCTGTGGATTCAGTGAGAAAACCTATGTCCCTAGCTAAATCAGACATATATTAGATGCCCAATAAATTTTATCAGTGTCTTCCCCTTTTCCTTACCTGCCCTCTCTATCTCTCAGTGGTCTTTCCTCTGCTCTTGCCTGTTTTTTTCTCTTTCTCATTGGTTTTCTATTACCTTTCATCTCATTCCTTCTATATTTCTTTCAGTCTCTTTTCAGCTTCCACATCTTTCCCTAAACTTCCTATTCCCATCTGCTTGTACTCCTTTTGTTCCTAGTTATTACATGGAATTAGAGCCCATTTAGAAACAGGTATGGTACCAAAAAAGTTTCTATGTTTCTGTTCTTGAGTTTATAATATAGTCAACTGAATCTGCTATGTTTCCCTCACTTAAAAAATAAGTTTACAAACTAAACGTGGTTATCTTTTATTTGAAAAATCTTTGTTCTTTCATGTGAGTTAAACACTTTTTTTAAGTGTGTTTTTCCATATTATGAATTATATTTTTAACAAATAACACTAAAACTTATAGAGAAGGTGGCATAGAGAAAAGTGCAGTAATGGGTCTGCTCCTCGAAGGGTAGAAATCTAGATTCTACATTAGTGGATATATTATAATCATATCAACAATAATAATAGCAAAGGCCCACATAGTGCTTCAGTGTGCTAAGTACTCTTCTGGCACATTAACTCATTTAAAGTGTACAACAACTCATTGAAACCCACACTTTTATTACCTCCATTTTTCAGAGAATTAAATCAAAGAACTGAGAGATTGAGTAACTTGCACAATATTGCATGACTAGGAAATGTTGGAGCCAGAATTTGAACCCAGGAAGTCTGGCTCCAATGTCCATGGCTTTACATTCTAAGTTATTCTCAGGGGAACGGGGAGACACTTAAAGATACACTGTAGGAGGTAACGTTCTGAAAATGCCACTCCTTAGCATTCCACACCGTAATCCATAGAGCCTGTGACTATCATATCACTCCTGTCATTATGTTATGTTATATGGCACAGTTGACCTTAATATAGGGAGACTATTCAAGTGAGCCTGATCTAATCATGAGTTTTAAGAGTGGAGAACTTTCTCTGACCATTGGCAAAAGTCAGAGATTCAAAATGGGTGAAGTACTTGAGACTGTTGCCGGTTGGAAGACAGAGGCAGGAGGCCATGTGAGAAAGAATGGGAGTGGCCTCTAGAAGCAGAGGGTCTTCAAGTGGACAGCCAATAAGGAAGCAGGGACTTCCATCCCACACTTGCAAGGAACGGAGTCCTACAACGACCGTGTGAGCTTGGAAAAAGTCCCTAAGCCCCCAGATGAGACTGTTGGTGGGCTGATATCTGTATTTCAGCCTGTGAGAACCTGAGCATTCCAGCCACACTGCACCAGACTTTTGATCTATGAAAAGAGTGAGCTAATAAATGCATGTTGTTTTATGCTGTTAAATTTTTGGTAATCATCTAAGGAGCAATGGAACACTAACATATACATCATTCTAGGAATTCTAGGTTCATGGTTACAAAATCTTCCTGCATGAGCTCAGTCACACTCAGTATGAAGTGAGTGTGCAGGCTTGAGACACAGATGAAATAAGAGGTGATTCTCTGCCTCGTGAGATTAGACTCCAAATTGAGCTCAGGTCTCAGGGGTTACCCCAGAAGAGAGATGTAGGAGAAAGAACATACTATTTGGAGTTGGAGGACCTGGGTTTCAAGTTCTG